ATGAATAGAATAAAGGAGAAACAGGCCTGTGTGAAAAATAGAAAACGAAATCCTCAACTAACTTAGGGCCCTATTGAATACTTCTTAACAACATTTAAAAATCATTTTTTTTTTTGTATTATATTAAATAATCTCAAAACAGCTCAAAACAAATATTTATTTATCAGCACATAATGATGGCCTTTGGTTTGATCGCTTAACACAAAAAACATAAATTAATTTCAATTTTCTTATCAAGAAGCAAAATTTTTAAGTGAAATTCGAAAGTTACCAACAAAATCACTTCACTATCATTATTATCATTATCATCAAATCAAATCAACACACATGAAGGACCTTCGACCAAATAACGGCCATCATCGTTACTTCCATCAACATACAACATAGTTACTTTGTAACCGACGTTATACTATCTCCCTATCTACTCCTTCAATCTCATTACTCATTCTTTTAATTTCATAACTATCCATTGACCTTTAACCTTATAACCTCATTTTCTCCCAAATACATCACTCCTTCTCCTTTTCCTTCCTAATCTCTCTCATCACTCATCCAATCTTGCCACCCCCCATTCTCTCCCATTCTTCTCTTCTTCCTTCTCATTTTCTTTATCCGTTTTACTCAAGTTGAAATTTCAGATTTCATCATCATACGAAAAAATCGGGTAAGTGCATATTGGCTGTGAGTTAAGTAAAAAACCTGATAATCTCAATAATCGATAAAACTAACTAGAAAGAGAGAGAGAAAGGAAGGGAGAAATAGGCGAGGACAAAGAGAGGGATTTCCATTCTTTAAGATCGAACAAGATGATGCCGTAAATGACTAACTATTGCATGCTCTTTATTTCCTTCGAATTTTCCGGAATTTCCCGCACTATCCTTAATGCACTAACCAATATCATCAGTATATTTGTGAATTTAAGCGTTAAGCTAATCAACGTTATATAATTAACCAGAAAAAACGATTAAACATTACTCTTTTTTTTTAAAGATAATTATAAGATATTTCTTTTCTATCTTTTGCATTACATAAAATCCCATTGGGAAGTGAATGGAGGATTTCCATCTTGAAATTCTATCTTAAAATCCCTAGAATCCTCTTTCAACTAATTATTCAATATGACATTGAAGATGAAGGAAAAAGAAGAAAAAAAAAAAGAGAATTGAACATCTGGTCTTTTTGGACGAGATAATCTACCGTCATCAACGACAGCTGTTAATACTACCTGTTGGCATATCAATCCAAACCTTTCTCTCTCTATAAGCTATTCATTATTTGAATGCTAATATTTCATTTCTACTATTACTACAACTACTACTACTACTACTACTATGCTACATGATTCAACATACAGCTAAGCTATCACTTGCAGAAGCTATTCTCAGTTAAGGTGTGATAGAAATTTTGACTAATTCAAAGAAATTACATTGCAATATGTTGAAATTAGCTCCATCTACAGATCTCAAACACATATTTCAACTTACAATCATAAATATAAGTTAGAAATTAAACTTGTTACAAAATATTGCGAATAAACTTCCAAGCCTTGGACAAAATGCGACCTTATGCAATTCAAAATTTTTTTTGTGCATTATGTGATAAATTCAAGAAATATTCATCGATAGTATTCATCGACCTTATAAAAATTTATCAAGTATTTCCCACATTTAAAAAGAAATGAGTGCATCATGTGGAAGAATTTATAAACTATACGAGTATCATTAAACTTTTTTAATCTCAAATATTTTTAAAATTGATTTTGTTGCATGTCATAAGCATGATTTCTTACAAATGACCTAAAATTATTAAAAACATATCCCTAAGAAAAATTTTTTTTTCTGCAAACTACAAATGTTTTTTTTTTTCACAACTTTACTCAATTTTCAAAAAAGTCGCCCAAATTTTACGAAATTCTTAACAATATTCATAAGTTCATTGGAACACGTTAGACGATATGCTACAGCACTAAGTATGCCTATATGTTTTAGAACTAAATATAGCATTTTTCTCAAGACTTTGTTGATCCAAAAGCAGAAGAATCAGGGAAAGAAATTTCTTTAAGTATGGTCCCTTTCACTTCGTAAAATCATTATTAGCTTTTCCAAATCACTGAAAGAAAAAAAAAATGAAAAGAAGAAAAGATTTTAAAAATGGCTAGTTTTCCTTCTCAGTGTGATTACAGTGATTTTCCGCTCTCTTCCATTGGTAGTTCAATAAATTCACTTTAATGTACAATATGAATGAGAACAAAAGAAGATTGCATACTCGTTCATCTTAACTATTTTATCTTTATTTTTCTGTCCATGACGAATTTATTTTTTTCTTTTCGTCACAATTTTAATTTTCTCATTATTATTGCTATTTATATGCTTATATACACATCTATCAATTTATTTAAATTATTGCCTTCAATTACTAATGTTTGCTTCAATAATTCTCATGGACTTTGGACTTTTTAGACTTTTTTCTTCACAAACCTAATGAAAAAGTTAAGAGAGTTTCGAGAAAATATAAAAATAGTAAATACAATTAATTATTTCATTTAGCTCATTTATCTGAATGTTCCTGGTTTTTCTGTTTTTGCAGAAATCGAAAAAATCTGTATGAAAGTATCGTTTTTGCTATATTAAGGAAGAAAAAAAAAACGTCATCTTATTCTTTAGCTTTTTAAGCATGATGAACATAACAAGCGTTATTCAGTTGAAATATTTCAAAATTTCTGCAACATCTTTTTTTTATTACACAGCTCTCACTAAAATAACAGTATTAACTTTATATTTATAGTAGTCTTCTCATCACTACTAACAGCTTAATGACATAGCAAAATTTTAGCTCCTGCTTTTAATTAGTTTAAAA